TATTTTTGTCAGGCTTAATCAACCATTTTTTAACAAGTGCCTTGAGCCATAACAGACATGTAATACGTTACTTATTTAAAATGTCAAGTATGTTTTAACACTTATAAAACCATTGCCACAGGTCAATTTATTTTTGCACTTTTAGCTATTACAAAATACCCACCTCTTCATAAAACTAGGGAAAATCATTTTATTGCAATTTTGCCCATGCTTTAGTCTTCTTTCTTCTCCTCAAACTAGTGTTTCTATAATGGGATGTTTTATTAAATGAGGTCTTTTAGGGCATAATTATTGCATTAAGAAGCACACTTTATAAAATTACATCCATGTATGGTAATAATGTAAAAGAGCCAATCTAAGAGGACAGATGCTTTTGACTGAGAATTAGAACCTTATCTGTGGATGCACAAAAGCTAGTGATTTGTTTACTATTCTCCTGCGTTTCTAAGTCACATTGAAGTTCTTCCGAAAGATTTCAAGAATAATGCCCTGGCAAGAAGAGAGTGAGGAGTGGGTGCTGAGACCAGGGTGGTGTGCAGAGCCCTGAGGTAGAAGATTTCTCCTGATGCAGCTTCATGGATCAGGGCCAGTCACTGACATTTTATGTCAGGGTTTTATCCTCTTAAAAAATAAATATAATGAGACAATAAGATCTGAGTTTACCTGTGGTTCTATGTCTTCATCCCTGGCAGATACGGGAAGACTTCATGCTTTTTATTTGCAATGGGTCTTAAGTAAACATATCAGACACGGGGAAAATAACGACATTTAGCTTTGGCTCTGCTGCAGGTGAATGTTTCAAAGGGAACGCACGATGTCTGTCTCACAGGGTGTGGGAGCAGATGAGCCTTGGCTCTCTGTGCTAGCCCTGTCCCTGGTCCGGCTTGTGCCCCCACACTGCTTCTTCTGGCTGCTTTTGTAACCCAACAGATCACTCCAATCCCCCACTCGATGTTATCCACTCACTCTTTCCACACTTGCACCACAGGGAAGATTATAAAAAAATCCTATATTCATAGGACAGCACCATGCCCAGGCCTGTGTATTTTCTGGGACTAATTGCTCAGGGAAAGCCAATACTCTGGTGCAAGTCTCATTCCAGTCTACATGGTAATTATATGCTAATGCCTTTTGAAATTAATTCAGAACCCCCCACACTGGCATCGCAGTAAAGGGTAAAGAAGCTGAGATTTAATCACATTGTCTTCTGGGGGCTTAATTTGAGATTTCTTTTATACATGAACTGGGCCATCGATCGGCAGAACTCGCTGGCTGCTCCTTTGCTGTTAACAATGCAGTCCCACAGCAACAAAACTGCTGGCCACTGGCGTTTGGAAAATCAGTCACGGCCAGGCCCTCGGGAAGAAGCAGAGCTTCTGACTTCAAAGAAGCCATGATGCGTGTTCGACCAAGTTCTTTTCTAAGTTCTACAAATTAGCCAAATTTTTAGGCCCCAAAACAAGTCCGATCCACTCGAAACCAAAGGAGGCTCACAGCTGAGCAAGAACACAACAATAGCAACAAAGCAGTCCTAAGAAATGGTAAGAACAAACAGTGGAGCTTTAGAAACAATCAAGACACAGTTACCTTGATCTCCTAGAGAAGCCGCAAAAATAAATGGAGTGTGGGTAGGTGAGCAAATATACAAGATTTGCTCTGGCCCAGAAATCTAGTAAGTATAATCTAAAAGCTCCCTATAAAAGCCTCCCACACAATGCAGTGTTCTTCCACAACCCAACACACTGCAATGTCCAAAGAACAGCCATTTTAACATGGGCTTGTAGCTTTCCCAGTACTCATCATTAAGTCAATTTCCTGTTCTCAGTTCGAACGGACATTGGATTTGATATCATGTGGTATACAAATTCCTCACATATCATAGAGGAATGATTAAAATTTTTTCTCAGCTATAAAAAGAAACGAGGGAAATGTTGCCCACACAAATTTTTTCCCGTCACCCCTGACCGAGAGCCAAAAGTCACATGAGAGGATGTGTTATAACTGCCTAAGAATCCTGTCTGTGCATTTTTCTGTTCTTTCAGTTTTTTAAGATGCTACATGAAGCTATTGAGGAAGATGATTGCTTCCTTTTGGGACACACTTCCAGAGACACATGTACTCATACAAACTAAAAAAACTCCCAATACACAAATCCATATGAAAATATTATTTTACAAATAGTATCAGATGAAATGTATTACTTTGTGCCAGATACTATGGCAAAATCTGACCTGTCTTCTCTCGTTAGTTCTCACAATGCCCTCTGAAGTTTATGCTATACAGTCACTAGACTGTAAGCTCTATGAGAACAGGTACTATGGATTTTGTTCACCAATGTAAAATCAGCACCTTGTTCCTACACTGCTTCCTACAGGACAGATGCATGGCAAGATACTTGCTGAATAAGTAATTTTCATTTGATAAAAGAGGCAACTGAGGGTTAGAGAAGATAAGTAACTAGCCAAAGATATGAGAGGCTAGGATGTATGTTACAACATGTATCTATCAATCATTTTTTTTTTTTAGACAAGAGAATCGATGGGGAGTAGACGAGGGTCAAGTTATTGCCATGTTTGCTCTTCTTGCCCTTTCCATTTCCACAAGAAGATAAAGTTGCTGAATAGCAACAAAAGGGCCAAATTTGGAAAGTCAAAAAAAAAAAAAAAAAGACTAGGTGGGGTCCACTATGGCAAGATATTAATATCCGCTTTCAGACAATGAGCTCTTCCAGCCTCTGGCCTAGAAAACAGAGACCTGAATTTTCTGTCTATAAGGGAGGAAATGTGATCTAATCAACAGTCAACTATGTGTAGTGCACTGTGTGCATTATGCCCCTTCTGAAATGCAACTAATGACTGAAAGTACTGGGATAATTAAAGCAGCTCTTCCAAGTTCAGCGCTCGCTGCCCTGTACCCACGGCAGACTTCTGTGTATGGACTGTAACACACTCATTGCTCTGCAGCCTCTGCTCATTCGTTACCCACATCTAACACAAATGTCAGGCAGAGAAATAAAATATCGGTGCTCCTGTTGGTCTAGATCCCATGGGCCATTATTCCATGTTGAGTCTTAGTAAAATAGAGAAAACAGAACTAGAATCTTCAAGTTCTAAATTACAGCCTCTGGAACATTGTCATATACTACGCAAGACAGGAAACCCATGCCTAGATCCATATGACACAACACAGTAACTTCAGATCCATGATTTCCTCAAGACCAGAGCATGATAAATCAGGATTCTCATGCATCTAAACGAATGGGGTTTGGCGGACATACCACGGGGAACACAGTACACTTCAGTGGAGCCTGAATCTCAGAGTCCGGCAAGCCTGGGTTTTTACCAAACTTAGTAACTTAGTTCTGTATTAGACAAGTGACTTACGTAGTTTTCTAATTCATAAAATGGGGACACGACGAGTACTTACCAGACAGGTCTCTCAAGAATACTGAAGTGTGGGATACACTTCAGTGGGTATACATACAAGTGTGGGACCACCTAGGTGAAGTACCAGTAATAACTCAGTAAATTAGTTTTCACTTTCAGCTCGATGACCATCACTTTAATTTCATCACCGAAGGAGTCTCCAAGCATCAACCAAAGGAAACAAACTTCAAGTGATGAATTGTATTGCTTAATACGTACTGGGCTGCCTTTGATTTTTACGTATTTAATGATTATGCTGGTCACTGCTACTACCCAAGCTGAGTCCCTTTCATCAAGCTGCATTACAAAAGCACAAGGAAGGTGATTCCAGAAGTGATTTCTTTGTGGATCTTTAAGACGGGGAGAAACTACTGAGGCTTGGGAGAGAGGCGTGATGCTAATGGTCTCACAGTGGTGTCTGACCAGTTTGGGCTGTATTTATTATTAAGCAAATCAGATTAGGGGTGACTGTGAATTCTGAGTCAAAGTCTGACGTGGAAATCATAAAATGGCAAAATCAGAAACCCTCGTTTTAAGTCAGCAGTCTGACATTCAGTGCCTCTGTGATTTCTAGACCTTTAGATGTCCAAGGGCTGGAGCGTTTTATTCAAGAGGCAGTACAGTGCACTGGTGAACAACACCTAAGAAGCTGAACTGCCTGAGAGTGAGTCCCAGCACCACTGTTTCCTTTGTGACCCCAGCAGTAAAAGAGGTTGCCGTATCAGACACTGAGTATGTATTAGTTGCTGCTGCTGTCCTTCTGATTATTATATTTTTCATTTTGCAGTGCAATAACCTTTTCGTTTCTGTTTCTTTCCTCTAGACTGTGAGCTTCCTGAATGAAGGGACTAGATGTATTCTTCTTTCTTTCCATGTACAGTCCCAAGAGACACTCTAACGATGTTGGCTGAATGATGGACTGGAACAGCAAACGAACATCAAAGTGAGATCAACTGGGAACAGAAACCCTGACTTTAAGCTGAGGAAAGTAAGAATAAGTAAGATTACTGATGAAATCATCTAGAGAGTAATTCGCAAAGGACCAGCATCTCCTTAGCCTCTCTTATCTCTATCCTGTTCCTAAATAAGGAATCCATGTGGTCTTAAACCACATCACCAACTTCACAGGTAGTAACCAAGCCCTGACAACCAGTTCACAAAGTTCTATTGGTTCTAACACCTTCCCAAAAAACTAAACAACAACAAAAACAAATGCCATACTTACGGTTTATTCTAAAGCTAAAGAGATTTTTAAATTCTAACAGATTAATACACAATTTAGTTTTGAACATTTTGGGATTTATGTTAAAAACAAATCCTATTCTTTTTAATAGGCTTTCATGAGATTTTGACTTAACGGTCCCTAAATCATTTTGCAAGATCAGGTCTTACTCAAACAGCAAATAACATTTCCAAGTGACAGTATGATTTCTGTTTTTCCTTTGGAAAGTGATTTTGAATAATTAAAGAAAACATAATTTGTAACATTCTTCACCATCACCTCATTTTCCTGCGGACTGTCCCCTTCACCCCTGCACCTTACCAAAAGAGAAATTACAAATCTGTGTCCCTTACCTCCAACAGTTCATCTCCAATACGCATTCGCCCGTCTAGGGCAGCAGGGCCTTCGGGGTTAATTCCCACCACGAATATGCTCATGCGTGACCGGTCCTTATTACCAGCAAGGCTGAGTCCAAGTCCATTCTTATCCTTTTCAAGCTCAATAATGTGCAATTCTCCAGGCAGGTCTGCATATCTTTGCCTGATTTTTTCTATTGTTAAAAAAAAAAAAAGGGGTGGGGGGTAAAAAAATTAAATAGAGCACTTAAATCTACATTACAAAAGCATCAGCATGTCCCCATCCTGACCCATGATGGTCCTTTTTTGAGAAGGAAGTAGTTGGAGTCATTCATCACCTTACATATAGGTTACAGTTAATTGTTCCATCTCCATTTAAAAAGTTTAGTTCACCAATAAAATGTTCTCCGATTGTTCAGGTTCACATGAGCCCAGAGTTGCTGTGCATTCCTTTCTTACCCAAAACAGTCAACACAATGTTGTAGAAACCCTAGCCTCCCTACCTCCCTCCAAAAAGAGAGGGGGTCAGTGGGAAACAAAGAATATATACAGAGCATCAGCTCTGCGCCAAGAAAGTGTTTGGTCCTGGAGATATCATACTGAACAAACCAGACATCGTTCCTATTCTCATGGACTTGCATTCCAGTAAGAAAAAAAAAATCAACAAATAATTCAAAATAATTGTTTCTTTAAACTATACAAATGGTATAATAATATTTTATGATACGTGAGTAAAATAAAGGGAATTAAGGATGTTGGTTTAGCTGTCAGATCTGAATTCAATACACAAATCAACCATTCACTCAATGTCCAATAATTAATACATTACTTTATTTTATGGAATTCCATTTCTTCATGTGTAAAATGGGCATGACAATACCCTCTTCATGGTTGTTGAGAAAATGAGATAAAATATATATTAAAGAAGTTAAAAGCTAGCTCATGCTTTATAGGAAATCTATAAATCTTTTATTTAATCTTTTGTCTTTCCTTGGTACGAACTCTCTTTGGTCTAAATTACCTACTTTAGGATTTGGCTGGTTATGCCTCACTTGTGTTGATTAGGTGCAACAAAACCACTCTGGCAGATCAGTGTGGGGAATGATACTGCTTTGAACATGGCTTGTCCCCCACAAAGCACTGGCTGAGGCCAGGTGTGTTTCTGGGGCCAAAGGCTGACACCTTCTACTATGGTATGATGCAATCATTTTATCAGTTGAATAACCATCTGGTAGACTGTGACTATCCTGGAACTGTATGGTCAGTCTAATGTTTGACTTAGGTCTACTGTCCTTACAGGGAACCTTGCAATTCAAAGCTGAACTCAAATAATTAGTGTTAAGGGGAATGGGGGGAGGAAAACAGCCTAGCTATGTTATCACTTTCCAGACCTAACAAACACTGCCTTAGGAGAATAGATATATTTAAATTCGTAAAAATACTTTAAAAAAATTAACCATATAAATGGCTGCTTATTTTAGAAACAGAATAAATCTGTTTGCTTTATACTGATTTTGAAAGGAGTCTTAATTTTCTTTCTCTACAGCTAATGTGATGAACTTAAAAATCTCAGAGACAAAGAGAAAGTCCTGAAAGCAGCTTGGGACAATAGGTCTGTAACCTACAATGGCAGAAACATTAGACTGGCAGCAGACCTACCCACAGACACCTGGCAAGCCAGAAAAGGACTTGCATGACATATTCAGGGCACTAAATGAGAAAAACATGCAGCCAAAAACACTATAACCAGCCAGGCTGTCACTGAAAATAGGAGGAGAGAGAAAAAAGCTTCCTGGACAAAAAAAAACTAAACTAAACTAAAAGAATTTGTGATCACCAAACCAGCCCTACAAGAAATATGGAAAGGGGTCCTCTATGCAAAGAGAGAGCCTAAAAGTAACACAGGCTAGAAGGGAAAAGAGACAGTATACAGTTAACAGTCACCTTACAGACAATACAATGCCACTAAAGTTGTATCATTCAATAGTTACCTTCAATGTAAATGGGCTAAATGCCTCAATCCAAAGACATAGGGTATCAGAATGGATAAAAAAACAAGACCCATTGATATGCTTTCTGCAAGAGACATTTTAGACCCAAAGACACCTCCAGATTTAAAGTGAGGGGTGGAAAACCATTTACTGTGTTAATGGACATTAAAAGAAATCTGCAATGGCAATCCTTATATCAGACAAATTAGATTTTAAATCAAAGACTATAAAGAGATGAGGAAGGACACCATATCTACTTAAAGGGTCTATCCAACAAGAAGATCTAAGAATTGTAAATATTTATGCACCTAATGTGGGAGCAGCCAATTTTATAAGCCAATTAATAACAAAATCAAAGAAACACATGGACCATAATACAATAATAGCAGGGGATTTTAACACTCCCCTCATTGAAATGGACAGATCATCTAAGCAAAAGATCAACAAGGAAATCAGGGTTTTAAATGACACACTGGACCAGATGGACTTCACAGATACATTCAGAATATTCCATCCCAAGGCAACAGAATACACATTCTTCTCCAGTGCACATGAACATTCTCCAGAACAGATCACCTCCTGGGTCACAAATCAGATTTCAACAAGTACCAAAAGACTGGGATCATTCCCTGCATAATATTAGACCATAATGCTTTGAAACTCGAACTCAATCACAAGAGAAAAGTTGGAAAGAACTCAGATACATGGAGGCTAGAGAGCACCCTACTGAAGAATGAATGGGTCAACCAGGAAATTAAAGAAGAATTTAAAAAAATAATAGAAACAAATGAAAATGAAAACGCAACTGTTCAAAACCTTGGGATCCAGCAAAAGCACTCCTAAGAGGAAAGTATATAGCAATACAAACCTTTCTCAAGAAACAAGAAAGGTCTCAAATACACAACCTAACCCTGAACTTAAAGGAGCTGGAGAAAGAATAGCAATGAAAGCCTAAACCCAACAGGAGAAGAGAAATAATAAAGATCAGAGAAGAAATCAATGAAACAGAAACCAAAAGGACAGTAGAACTGATCAATGAAACTTAGAAGAGATCATATGAAACTAGATGCGGGTTCTTTGAAAGAATTAATAAGATTGATAAACCCTTGGCCAGACTTATCAAAAAGAAAAGAGAAAGGACCCCAAAAAATAAAATCGTGAATGAAAGAGGAGAGATCACTACCAATATGAAAGAAAGACAGACAATTATAAGAACATATTATGAGCAACTGTATGCCAATAAATTAGATAATCTGGAAGAAATGTATGTATTCTTAAAGATGTATGAACTACCAAAAGTAAACCAGGAAGAAAGAGAAAACCTGAACAGACCCAGAACCAGAAAGGAAACAACTAATAATCAAAAAATCTCCCAACAAACAAGAGCCCAGGGCCAGACGGCTTCCCAGGGGGAATTCTACCAAACATTTAAAGGAGAATCAATACCTATTCTTCTGAAACTGTTCCAAAAATAGAAATGGAAGGGAAACTTCCAAACTCATTTTATGAGGCCAGCATTACCTTGATCCAAAACTGGACAAAGACCCCATCAAAAAGGATAATTACTGACTAATACCCCTGATGAACATGGATGCAAAAATTCTCACCAAAATACTAGCCAACAGGATCCAATAGTACATTAAAAGGATTATTCACCACAACCTATTCCTGAGCTGCAAGTTTGGTTCAACGTCTGTAAATCAATCAATGTGATACACCACATTAATAAAAGAAAGAACAAGAACCATATGATATTCTCGATAGAGGCAGGAAAAGCATTTGACAAAGTAGAGCATCCTTTCTTGATCAAAACTCTTCAAAGTGTAGGGATAGAGGGTACATACCTCAATATCATCAAAGCCATCTATGAAAACCCACAGCAAATATCATTCTCAATGCAGAAAAACTGAGAGCTTTTCCCCGAAGATCAAGAACATGGCAGGGATGTCCACTATCACCAACACTGTTCAACATAGTACTAAAAGTCCTACCCTCAGCAATCAGACAACAAATAGAAATAAAAGCCACCCGAATCGGCAAAGAAGAAGTCAAACTCTTACTCTGCAGATGATGTGATACTTTATGTGGAAAACCCCAAAGACTCCATCCAAAACTGCTAGAACTCATAACAGGAATTCAGTAAAGTGGCAGGATATAAAATCAATGCAGAGAAATCAGTTGCATTTCTATACACCAATAATAAGACAGAAGAAAGAGAAATTAAGGAGTCGATCCCGTTTACAATTGCACTCAAAACCATAAGACAACTAGGAATAAATCTAGCCAAAGAGGCAAAGAATCTGTATTCAGAAAACTATAGAACACTCATGAAAGAAATTGAGGAAGACACAGGAAATGAAAAAATATTCTATGCTCATGGATTGGAAGAACAAATATTGTGAAAATTCAATCCCTATCAAAATACCATCCCTATCAAAATGCCATCAACTTTTTTCACAGAGCCAGAACAAATAATCCTAAAACTTGTACGGAACCAGGAAAGGCCCCAAATAGCTAGAGGAATGTTGGAAAATAAAAGCCAAGCTGGTAGCATCAGAATTCCAGACTTTAAGCTCTATTACAAAGCTGTAATCATCAAGAAAGTATGGTACTGGCACAAAAACAAACACATAGAGCAATGGAACAGAATAGAGAGCCCAGAAATGGACCCTCAACTCTATGGTCAACTAATCTTCGACAAAGCAGGAAAGAATGTCCAATGGAAAAAAAGACAGTCTCTTCAAACAAATGGTGTTGGGAAAACGGGACAGCCACATGCAGAAGAATGAAACTGGACCATTTCCTTATACCACACACAAAAACAGACTCAAAATAGATGAAGACCTCAATGTGAGATAGGAAACCCATCAAAATCCTAGAGCAACACACAGGCAGCAACCTTTCCAACCTCAGCAGCAGCAACTTCCTCCTAGGCACATAGCCAAAGGCAAGGGAAGCAAGGTCAAAAATGGACTATTGGGACTTCATCAAGATAAAAAGATTTTTGCACAGCAAAGAAATAGTCAACAAAACCAAAAGACAATGGACAGAATGGGAGAAGATATTTGCAAAAGTCATATCAGATAAAGGGCTAGTATCCAAAATCTATAAAGAACTTATCAAACTCAACACCCAAAGAACAAAAAATCTAATCAAGAAATGGGCAGAAGATACGAACAGACGTTTCTGCAGAGAAGACATCC